ATCTAAGTGAAGTCCACGTGTGTGCCAAGTTATATTAAAATCAAATCAAAACTGAAGGAGGAGTAGCATTTTAAAGGAATTTCACAGAAAAATATTCATTATTTAGTAACCATGGCAACACTGTTCATTGACATCAAAAACCGATGCACTAAATTATGTATCATTGTACAGATTACTTGTGAGATAATCAAAAACCGAAGTACAAAATTATGTATCTTAGTGTAGTCTACTTTTGTGCCACGCTATACTGAAATCAGACCAAACCTGTAGGAGGAGTAGCGTTTTAAAGGAATTTCACAGAAATTTCTATTTTAAGTAACTATGGCAACATCTTCATTGAAATCAGAAAACGCTGCACTAAATAATATATCTAAGTGAAGTCCACGTGTGTGCCAAGTTATATTAAAATCAAATCAAAACTGTAGGAGGAGTAGCGTTTTAAAGGAATTTCACAGAAATTTCTATATTTAGTAACCATGGCAACACCGTTCATTGAAATCAAAAATCGATGCACTAAATTATGTATCATTGTACAGTCTACTTGTGTGCCAAGTTATATTGAAATCAGACCAAAACTGTAGGAAGAGTAGCGTTTAAAAGGAATTTCACAGAAATTTCTATTTTTAGTAACCATGCAACACCGTTCATCGAAATCAGAAACCGATGCATTAAATTATGTATCTAAGTGAAGTCCATTTGTGTGCCAAGTTATATTAAAATCAAACCAAAACTGAAGGAGGAGTAGCATTTTAAAGGAATTTCACAGAAAAATATTCAATATTTAGTAACCATGGCAACACTGTTCATTGACATCAAAAACCGATGCACTAAATTATGTATCATTGTACAGATTACTTGTGTGCCAAGTTATAATGAAATTAAAAACCGATGCACTAAATTATGTATCTTACTGTATTATACTTGTGTGCCAAGTTATATTGAAATCAGACTAAAACTGTAGGAGGAGTAGCATTTTGAATAATTGTTTACAGACAGACAGACAGACGGACGGACGATGAACACCTTACTATAGCATAAGCTCTTCTGGTCTCTGACCAGTAGAGCTAAAAATTGAGTGAAATGTTTTCTGTATAAGATTAATTTTTTATTGTTTTGTGAACTATCCCCCTCGGACAAAAAAAAACATTTTAACAGAAATACGTAAGCTTAGATAAAATCTTGGACCGCTTTTTACATAAGATGAAATGTTAAGATAACTAACAAAAATCAAGCTCAAAAATCTAATCAAACAACACAAACGTTGAACAGAAATAAACTGATTAAATTAAGCCAAAATAGAGCTAAACAAACGCAAGCGCTAAAATAAATACAAAAGTAAGTGTTCATTAACTCACCAGACATCTGATTTTGAGGTAAATACTCCAGATAAAGCTTCAGGTGGAAGCCATTGCACGGGAAGCATGGCTGTTCCTTCTTTTTTATAGTACTCCGATCTAAAGAAAATTGTATTTGTCATCTCCTTATTAATATTTAATTATACAAATACTACAGATCAAAAGTCCAATAAATCAGATCTTGGTCCAACATCTTTGATAGGAATGGCTCTGAAGATGATATCAGGTCAACATCAAAGTTTTTGGCTTGCTTACGTCATATCTCATCAGAAACTACGTTTCCTAAAATAAATTAGCAAAATGAATTGGGTTTAATGTAATTAACATTTTATTAGGTGAATTTTCCTTGTCTAAAGTTAATAGAGTTGTAAATTTTCTGATTGTATACAAAACAATATAATTTTTCTTGTCTAAAAAAGACAAACTGCCAAGCCTCATGGAACTTTTCTTTCACTTGTACAATAAATATAGGGTTGAAAAATATATTGCAAGCCAGAATTCGGAAATGTAAAAGTTTAATAATAATACCTGTCAAAAGGTGAAATGTTTATTTTACAATATTAAATAACATAATCTGTTAATATTTCCATTTCTATTTGTTTTCTCTGTGATAACTCCTTGAAAGTTATTTGACTTGATTTCTTGATCATTCCACCGGAATGCAAATTTCGCCAAGCGAAAGGTCAGGAGCTAAGAAGGCCTAATATGCTGTAAATCTCTTGCGGCTGTCTTTGTGTTTGACCTCACTGGGCGGGGACTATTCAATTGACATGGGAGACCTCGTGTTATTTAAATCTATTAGTCTACATTTTTAAAATCTAAATTTACAATTTTATTTCACAATGCAATGGAAATATAAGGAATCACTGTCTAGTTAGTAGAGTATGCCATGGACATCAACGATAGTTGGAAACGTGGGATAATTTATGCATCACGGGCTTCGCCCGTTATGCAAATTACCCCACGTTTCCAACTATCGTTGATGCCCTGGCATACTCTACTAACTAGGCAGTGATTCCTTAATAATATGTTAGGCTTTTCTTAATTTAGTGCATTTATATTGATTTATTTTTTTCTCTCACGCTCCCACTTACCAAAATGAATGAGTGTGACTGAGAAAGTGTGAGCGAATGGTATGAAAAAAAAAGGTTTCATACTTGAAAAAATAGATAATGAAAAAAATAGCAATCACCGCTTAGAGAGAGAGAGAGGAGAGAGAGAGAGAAAAAACTCTGTTGTTTGATGTATTGAAAATTCGAATAAAAATTGCAAATTAAATATTACTTACACAGAGGTTCTTCTTGCCATTCCAAAGTCACCTATTTTTACAAGGACATCGAGTCCTACTGACTTGACTAGACAGTTTCTAGCCGCGATGTCCCTTGAATGATATTAAGATAATTATATTTTAACTAAGTAGTTTCTATATTTACACGTAAGTGACAAAACATCGATGCTGTTTTTGACATTTCTTTTCGGTCATACTTTTGAATTCGTTTATTATACATATGCGTATTAAGATCGCCGTGCTTGGTATATGTCTATGCTTAATTTTGCTTATTTTATCATCTGTTTTCCGTTGTCTATTTCTGTGCTGTCCGTCTGTCTTTTATTTTACACTTTCAACTTCTCCAGAACCAGAATTTTTCCTTCTTTGGTCACATAATTAAGAAATAGTGAAAATGGCGCCTTTTTAAAAATCTTCTAGGGAACCACTGGATCAGAAATGACAAAACCTTTGTGAAAGCTACTGAATGCATTTAAATTTAAAATGTTGACGTTGCGACCGTTAGGGCGAGCGCAGATACGTCTACTCATTTTTAACCTAGATATGCCTCTTCAAACCGCACATTTGGAACATCTAGACTGTGACGTCAACTGGCGTCGTACATGTATGTTACTTGCACTACTAAAACGAAGTCTGAAAAGTTGCAAATTTTAACAAAGAACGTCAAATCAACTAATTTATCTTCAAAATTAATTAAATCAAGGTGAGTTTTTTTATTTGGCGAACGTGAATTGTGACCACAAGAACGAAGTTGGCAGCGAGATGCATTTGCGTTGCATTGTGGGTCCAGAGGTTACTACAGAAAAAAAAAATCCGTATTTTCTCTTCTTTCTTACGGTAAGGAATTGACCTCTAATACTGGAGTGATGAATACTCCGGCTCGGTGAAAAACAGGAGGTTTCCTTTTTTAAACAGATAAAACTATTTAACAGTGTGTCTGCTAGGGTTGCAGCTGTCACGAATTATTATCTTTGAAATAGATAGGTATCAATAACAACAAGAATTTGATTATAAGAACAATACAGCATATACAAATTGAAAACTGTCAAGCAACCATCATCAGATCATAGCAACAGTAGTGTTAAACCAGAAATTGATTTATTTCATTTAATAAACTTCTTACTCATTCTAAAAAATGTTTATACAGATAAACTTTTTATAGATAAGTTGATTAAATTTTACACCAATTTAATATTAAAAAATAAAAAGAAATAGCACATTATTTCCTTAGCAACTTATATCCAACCATAGCAACAGTGAGTATGAATGAGGTAATTCCTTGATTTAAATCATTTTGTTCATAAACTGAGAGTACATAAAAAGACTAAAAGCAAAAATCTGAAATTGGATCCATGTACATATCAAAATCCATAACAACCAAAATCAGACCATAGCAACAGCTTCCTAATGTAGTAACATAATATGTAAAAGTCAAGGATATATGGTTATTAACTTTAAACACAACAGTATTTAAAAAATTGAAAAAAATACAATTCAGGAACAAAAGTCAATTAATCTTTCATTTACTTTGAACTTCAACAAACCCAATGTAACCTTTATCTGACAATGGAAAATGAAATATTTTTTTGGAAATAAACTTTAATACCCTGTGCAAATAAATTTCAAGACAACCAAGTATTTGTTTATGGAACTTAGCTTGTAAAAATGCAAGTTTTTTTTTCTAAAATCAATTATGACCCTTTGTTAAGAAAGGGCCTATAAATACATGGACTAGGTAATATCATTACTCTTGTTTGTTCAATGTACTTGTTGGTCAATAATTATAAGCTCATATACACTGATGGATGAATTTTTTTTTTCGACTTTTATAAACTGAAATACATTATAATATATTCATTGAAAATGTACAAGTACCTAAAAAATGCATAGATCATCATGAATTTAAACATTCATTTCACATGAATGAATATTGTGGCTCAAACCAGCACATGCTTACATACTGGTGAATAGACAATTTTTTTTAGACTATAACTAATTAAAATATATTCATTGTAAATGCATAAGTACCTGAAAATTAACAAATCATCATGAATTTTGACATCATTTCACATCTCAGCATATAAATTGTATTTGTGAAACATATGAGTATCTTAATTGGTTCAAACCAGCAACATACCTAAGTCAACGTACACCTAAGTCAATAATAACCTTCTTGTGTTGATTAAAACTACAACAGTGCATGGGTTAACTAACTTCCAGTAATTTGTTACATGCAGGTAACATTGTTCCAAAAAATGGAAGCAACAATCTTGCAAGGAGATATACATAAATTCAGATACCAATGTAAATAGGTCGCCAAAGCATGTCAGTCCCTGTAGATTAAAGCTTGCAATGCATCATTTTGCAGTGTTGGTTGCAAGATTTCTTATATCCATGGCATCATTTTCAAAGTCTTCCGCTTTAAGGTCTTCTTCTTCATATGAACTGAGTGAAATCTTTCTCTTCTCTAAGGAGAGTCGACTGAAGTAGCTCACAATTTGAGCTGATGACAAGAATTCTTGCTGACTGAATTTTCTTTTGCCATCATTATCCTTGACTGTTCTCATTTTAACAGACACCTCTTCCACGTCACACTTATGTCCAGTCACTTCACCTTTCTCAAACATTTCCCTCAGGAAATGGATTTGTTCCCTTGAAAATCTTTTGACTCTTCGTTTGGATTTCAAGGCCCATCCTCTCTGTAATATTACATTATCCGATGGTAGGGTGGTTGCTGGTCTTTGAAGCAATGTTGATTTCTTTACATCAATTTGATCCACATACTCCTTTTTTGCCTTATCAGAAAGAGAATTAACATCAGTCCTTGTTTTATGATTTCCTCTGTCTACATGTTTGCTCAAATATCCATATTTTTGGAAGGACATGAGACAATTGGGTTCAGGACAGGTGAAAATCAAGGAACTCTCATTACATTCCTCTGCACATTCCACACTGGTTTGTGTATTTTCTGCATAGACAGGTATTGGCTGGGCATGATCAGAAGTAACTGATTGAACTGGTTCAGTAGATTTCACAAAAACACTTGTGGAACAGGAAGTCATGGTCTCAATAGACGGGAAGATGTTGTATAAAACCAGGTCCTCATTTGGAAAATCCACATCAGTGCCGATATTGTATTGCCTGTGGCATGTTACATGACTCTGGCCATACCTGAAGTTGTTCAGCAGTGAGACATCCTTTATTTTTAATGACTTTTTCTCAGCACCAGGACTTGGGGGCAATGCATAAACCACTTCAACATTTTTGATGTTGGAATTCATGACAGTATCAAGGAACTCTCTTGCAGATGTGACATTATTTCCTTCGTTAACATATTTTCGGATGGATCCTTTAATATGCGCAGCTCTACGATCACAAATACTTTTGCCTCCCTGTGGATCAGCGAAGTCCACTTGCACAACCTTTAATTCACTTGTTCTGTTCAAAAAGGGAATGCCAAATATTCCCTCTACACCATGAAAACATCCTGCATTATCTGATCTGATAAATACTTCCCTCAGCTTTGAATTTTTCTCTTTTAGTCTTTCCATGGAATCTTTTAAAATGGCATTTGATGTAGTGGCATCTTGATTCGCATTATTGAAGACATGGACAATCGTGTGACTATGAAGATCATTGTTGACATTGAAAGTTCCCACAGTTAATTGCCAGTTTAGACCTCTTTTTCCATACCATTTTGACTGAGATTCTCTATACATCATCGGTAAGAATTTCATGGCCCAATCTCTTTCCAGTAGTACTTGATCTTCACCTATGCTTTCCAATATGTCAGATCTTGCTCTATCTTGGTTGACTGATCGTAGTATATGTTTTTTCCATTCTTCTGAAGCTTTTACACTCTAAAAAACCAAAAAAAAACTACATAAAACATCTCATTGTTCAGCAATTTTTTTACCATTAAATTACCATCTTAACCACTAATTAATAAATAAAGTATCATTTTATAACTTTTATCAGGATGTAAATACGGGTTGGTCATGTGATCAAATCCCATAAAGCCCAAAGAGTCGATAAGTTTTAAAATGATAATTTATTACTTATATTTCCATTTGTGACTGATTTATTATTACAAATACTTTCAATTGGTACTATAGTTTTAAACCCATATAATGTTTTTTTTAAAACCTCAACGGTACAAATTGAATGCATTGAACATGTTGATCACCTATGATGTCACTATGAAATTACAAAGATGGTTTATGACTAAACAATCAAATCATGGTAATATAAGGAACCTGTTTTTACACAGGTGTAAATATGCCTTGTTCAAATGTAAGGGAAAACATTTGCAAATGTAAATATTTAGGTTTTAAAGCAAAAATCTTCAGTACTTGTTCATGTTTATCTTTCAATCACGTCTCAGCATTTTCTAACCTGTGCCAATGTGTACTGGATGTCGTCTCGTTGGTCTTCATCCTCAAAACTGTGCTTCATCTGCAGCACGTTGTATCTGCTCTATGGTGTTACTGAAATCATGACAGCTGGAACAGATTTTGTTGTGGCGATGGCTGCAAGTCATCTGATGTTCATAAGTTTTCGAAGACAGGGCATAATTTAAACAATGGTCAGGAATTTCTGACTCAACTGCAACATGCATCTTTAAAGAAATAAAAACACTTTAATTTAATGCAAAATATAGTATTGTATTATAGAAGGATATGTGTCCTTTTATTAAAACCAGGAACAATTGTTGTCTTTTTTTAAAAATCTTCAAATTTTTAGTGGGTACATTTAGTACAACACGAAAAACAAGAGGCCCATGGGCCACATTGCTCACCTGCACACATTAGCTAAGCAAAAGCACAAATCAGTTCAGCAAGATTACCGGGGGGGGGGGGGGCTTGAATTTCAAACTACCTTATGATGCTTCCATGTAAAAAATTTTCCTATATATTTCTTTCTAAAAATTTTATCCCCCATTGTGGCTCCTCCCTATCCCAGGGGTCATGATTTGAATTGAACAAACTTGAATCTACACTATCTGAGGATGCTTCCATATCAATAAGACTAAATATTTTTTCTCTGTTCTTGAAAAGAATTTTTTTCTAAAATGTTCTTATGTTAAACTTTGATCCCCCATTGTGGCCTCACCCTACCCCCCGGGGGTCATCATTTGAACAAAATTAAATCTACACTACCTGAGGATGCTTCCATATCAAAATGAATTAACACGATTTTTTTCTGTTCTTGAGAATAAAATATTTTCCTATATGTTCCTGTAAAATTTTTGATCCCCCATTGTGGCCCCACCCTATCCATGGAGGTCATCATTTTAACAAACTTGAATCTACACTACCTGAGGATGCTTCTATATCAAAATGACTAATCATGTCTTAGCAGTTCTTCAGAAGAAGATATTTTCCTATATATTTCTATTTAAGAATTTGATCCCCCATTGTGGCCCCACCCTACTCCTGGGGGCCATGATTTGAACAAACTTGAATTTACACTACCTGAGGATGCCTCCAAATAAATATGACCAATCAGGGCTTTGCTGATTCTGAGTAGATGATTTTTAAATATTTTTCCTATATATTTCTATGTAAAACTTTGATCCTCCATTGTGGCCCCACCCTACTCCTGGGGGTCATGATTTGAACAAACTTGAATCTACACTAGCTGAGGATGCCTCCATATAAATATGACTCATCAGGGCTTTGCTGTTCTTGAGAAGACGATTTTTAAAGATTTTTCCTATATATTTCTATGTAAAATTTTGATCCTCCATTGTGGCCCCGCCCTATCCCTGGGGTCATGATTTGAACAAACTTGAATCTACACTACCTGAAGATGCTTCCATATAAATATGACTCATCATGGCTTTGCTGTTCTTGAGAAGAAGATTTTTAAAGATTTTTCCTATATATTTCTATGTAAAACTTTGATCCTCCATTGTGGCCCCATCCTACCCCTGGGGGTCATGATTTGAACAAAATTGAATCTACACTACCTGAGGATGTTTCCATATGAGTTTCATCTTTCCTGGCCCTGTGGTTCTTGAGAAAAAGATTTTTGAAAGGTGTTTTTAATTTTTCACTAATTCTTAATTATCTCCCCTTGGAATAGGGCGTGGCCCTTCATTTGAACAAACTTGAACCCCCTTCACCAAAGGATGCTTTGTGGCAAGTTTGGTTGAAATTGGCCCAGTGGTTCTGGAGAAGAAGTCAAAAATGTGAAAAGTTTACAGACAGACAGACACACGGACTACAGACAAAATGTGATCAGAAAAGCTCACTTGAGCTTTCAGCTCAGGTGAGCTAAAAAATCACACAAAATATACTTCAAAACAAACCTTATAATCAAGTTTAAGACTTTTTTCCCATTTGACAATTTCTGAATTATGTCATCTTCCCACTCCACTCCCTTCAATAGCTTCCCCAACTCAGTAACAATTTTCTTTAGGTCATCAACAGCTCTTGCTCCATCTGCAGCATAGTTATCTAGCCCTTTCATGCTTTTCCTTACTCTTGGCTCAATGGCCTCTAGTACTCTCATATATGACCTGTCACTGGCAACATTTTCTACTCCAGACTCTAAGGAGAAACTCCTGTACTGCTCCACTACACGGGCTCTTACACTATTTAAAATAATTTGTGGAACTTGAAAGACTTCTCCACTTGAAATTTTTAATTTTGTTTCCAAAAATGGAGAATCTGTCATGATACAGGGGGACATGACGAAATCTATAAAATGTTTGACCTGGTGATCAGACAAACCTTCCCTAGTATATGATGGACTTTGCACCTGTTGTCCAACACCTCTTGTAATGGCATGTTTTCTTGCTGTTGTATATCTGTATTTGGTAAGGGTTGGAATGAAGGTAATCAACTGATTGTAAGTATAGGCATGAGCAAATAATGACAAAATTTGTCTCTGTGTTCCCCAGTCAGCAGAAAGGTTATAGGCATTTGAAAGAAATTGCAGCATGTTGTTGTCAGGAGAATCTGAATCAGTTTTCAATAAAGCATCCAGCAGAAAAGAGCCTTGACCTGGTGCAAGGACATTCACAACCTCTTGAAAAATTGATTTAGCTGATGATATATAATCACTTTTTGTACGGTCAGATGCTTCATTCCAATCTGCTCTGAGTTGCTTTTTCACTGGACTTAGACCACAACTTTTCAGAAAAGTGTCCAGAGCTTTCCTCTTGTTATTCACGTTTTTCTGGATGATCACCTCCCTCCTCTTCTTCATATGTATCTTGACTGCTTGGTAACCAGAGGCTGCCTTGTGAATCTATGGACACTTGCGTACTTGTCTACAAATAAAATTTTTTTGTAAGACACCAACTTAAATTAAAATTCCTATACCCTCCTATCAAAAGGACATGGTCCTCAAAATGGCACAAAGTTGTTTCCTTTTAACAAGCAATCTAATTAAAATTAGATGTTAGATCTGCTCGCATACTCGATACAGTTGGTGCAGTGTGTATTCCAGTGGATCTAACATTTTTAAATATTAATTAACTGTTTAACAAGAGGCCCAAGGGCCTTAACAGTCACCTGAGTATAATACAACAAATGATCACAAACAATGCAGATAGCAACAGGTTACCTGATTTAAATGTTTGCATCAAGTGTTGAGAATTTTATACTGAACTTGTATGCATAGATAAAAATTTCAACTTTTAGTTTGCTAGGATTGATACTCTACTTATGTACAGTTATAAAATAATGTGGAATAACTTCAGTACTTTTGTTAATTAGCTTGGAAAGTTATGTCATGTTATCTCACCCTGAATGAACATGAAATTAATTTTTTTGCAAAAATGATGTGAAATATATATATATATATATATATATATATATATATATATATATATATATATATATATATATATATATATATATATATATATATATATATATATATAAAACATAAAAAAGGGTATTTAAGTTGTTAGATTTATAAGTAAAAAATCCTTGAAGAGATGTTTAACAAAACAAACAAATTTTATTTTAAACTGCTACTTACAATCTGATCGAAATCATCTGTATTTGTGCTTGGATTAACACCATCAGATGTGTGTGAATAACTGCTGGAAGGTATCAAATGAACTGTGAGTTCTTGATTTAAAGATGAGCCACCATCTTCTTTAACTGTCTTGTACAACGGTGTTTTCTTTTCCTGATGCCTAGAAAAACAAATAGTAAAAATGAAAAAAATAATAAGAAATGTATAAAACCATACCCCCCCCCCCCCCAATATTTAAAAGTGAACAACTTTAAAGTTAGAATGTTTGTAATGAAAGTAAAACAATTGGTCACCTAAAAGTCAGGGGTAAACATGATTTCAAGTTTGATCAATGTCAGACCTCAATATCATTGAGGGTAATTTACTTCTTAGACAGTACCAGTATACTAAATTTGATCTATGTAAAGAAAGTGGTTCTCAACATAATGAGCTGACATGTCTTCCAATGTCTAGTGTCTATGTTGTATGACCCTGGACTTCTGACCTTTTGACTGCAAAATTGACAGGTGTCATCTAGTCCCTAAGGGGAATGAATTTACGAAGTTTGATGCCAAGGAAAATTATTCTCAAAATATTGAGCAAACAAGATCTTCCTGTGTCTAGAGTAATTAAAGCTTTGATCTTTGACCTTGTGACCTCAAAATCAATAGAGGTCATCTACTCTTCAGTCCGCCACTTAGTGCCAACTTTGATGTCTGTTAAGCAAAGAATTCTCAATATATTGAGTGGACAACATTTGGTTTACAGACCAACTTTCAGGTGCCAACCATCTGTATTTTTTTAGCAGGGGGGGGGGGGGACATATGTTACAATGTACATGTATTTAGAATTTTGTTACCCCCACCCTTTAAAAAGCAAGTTTTTTTAATTTGTTGATTTGTTGAGTTATAATCTTGATAACTTGCCAGTAAATAATTGCTGGACGGTGTAGCACTGTGCAATAAAGGCCCATTCTCCTTCTCGACTGAATGCACAATTTTGCTCCTGCATTGTCGACATACTCCTAAAAGAAAAAGACAGAAGTAATCATCTCCAGTGGCAGTTATTGACAGACATATTTCATTATCTGAGATTTGAAAAATACAGACCTGCTCCAACAGGAATAGTTATTCCAAATTCTTTAAAATCATGCTTAGATTGGTGTAAAGTTACAGAAGCTCGTTCTGGTTTTCTTTTTCCACCACAAGTTTGCAGGGGGAATGGCATCACCCATATCGAAAATGAATACAAAAATAATACAAGAAAAAAATACTAAAATAATACAAAAAAAGTATATTTTTAATGACCAAATTTGGAACCCTCTAAATCTTGGTTCCAATTTAGGTCAAAAATAATAGACTTTTTAAAAGCCAATCACAGAAAAATATATTTTTAATATACTTTATTTTTTCGAAATAATACAGAAATGATACACATGACCTGTAAAAATGTATTGTTTTTGTACTTTTGTATTATTTCTCTATTTTCCTCTCCGAAGTATAAAAATAATACAGTCCATAGAAAAGTATAGAAAAAATACAGAATGTATTAATTTTGTATTAGCATATATTATTTTTGTATTTTTTCACCTTTTAGAATTAAAATACAAAAAAAATATAGAATATATTAATTTTGTATCACATATATTATTTTTGTATTTTTTCATCTGGAACAATTAAAAATACAAAAAAGATATAAAATATGAAAATAATACAGTACACGTAAAAGTATGAAAAAAATATAGAATGTATTAATTTTGTATTAATATGTATTGTTTTTGTATTTTTATCAGCATGAAGGATTGTATTTCAAAAATATCAAAAAAGTACAAGAATGATAGACAAAAAATACATTTTAATGCTTAAAATAATACAAAACAGAGTTTTAAAAACTACTAAAATGATCATGGGCAAAAATTGTTATTTGAAGAAAAGGGGTTGGAGATTAAGGTTCTTAATAGCATCTATTGATTGTTATTCAAAAATCTTTTATTTATTTGAAATATTTGTTAAATAACAATTTTAGTAACTCAGATTACCTTAAATGTACAAATAGCTAATTAAAAAGTAATTAATGTGGCTAGGCTACTGATTCAGCTACCAACTGTAGTCTTGATCTTTCTTTTTACATATAATCTGCTCTTCAATAGTCTTGATATTTTTCACAAATTTAACTAATCCTGTTTTCTTTGTACTTTTACCAAATGTTTCGATCTCTCTGCTTTGCTGTTTCTTTTGTATGGAAAAGGTAGAGGAGTGTTTACTTTGTTGCAGATGTCCATCTTCAAATCACACAACCTGTCATCTCATCTGACTTCATCACTGTGAAATATAGAACAGAATGATATAATAATAAAATTTAATGAACCATTACCTCAACAAAACACACATTTTAACATTCAAAATAATTCTATATAGATTTTGTTTAGCTCACACACCTGCAATACTTTCTTGAGAGGGATCTTCTTCCTCCATGACTTGTCAGCTTTTCTTCAATGTTCGGCTGACTGAAATTAACAATAATTATAAATTGAAATTCCAAAAGATCCAGCGGAGTTCACCAAATTCCATACAATTGTACCATTGAAATTACTTTTCTTTAATCTGGGATTTCTTAGGGGACAACCATTTGATTTGACAATCTGGAGAAGAAAAGGGGGGGCTGATTTATAAAATATTTTTAAAAAAATATTTGTAATAAACAATCTGTCCTTGAAAATGTTGAAAGAGTAAACAAAATGTGTGCCCCAATGTTATTTAAATAAACTGCCCCCCCCCCTCCCGAACCCAACCTACCCCCCCCCCCCCCGAAAAAATTTGAGTTTATACAAATTACAGAATTGTTTTTGAAGGGAAAATAAATAATTCGTCTCTGGTAAACTTGAAAAAATTGGAATGAATTAGAACTAGGAAGCCAAAGGCTTGAAAATTACCCCCATCTGCCACCCCTCCCTCCCCAATCAGAATTTATCACAAAAACCCTTGTTCCCCACATGGCCAATAACCGTACTATTTTATCTTTCTACAATACTACAAAATGGGTAAAAAAGGCAGTCTTTGTTCCTCTATCTTTGTACTAAGTTATTATTTAAAAAACTGAAACTTTAATGTGCTAAAATATATATAATCTTACCGCAACTGTCGTTGTTTACACCAGAAAAGTCCGGATATGATGCCTAAAAAACGTCAGTCTCCTTATGTATTTGCTCTCCTTGGTTCATATATATGATCCTGTGTACCATGATTATGCTGAACTTCTGTTTTTCGATCCATTTTACTCGCGAGCAAATGAGAGTTTATTCAAAATCACCTCCAGCTTTCTCTACACGTCCCGGGAAGAATTTTCAAAATGGCGTGGGTGAAATATTGTTGACCAATCAAAGAACAGCACGGAAGAGTTTTAAAATTCTGACCAATCATATTGTGTCATATATACGAAAATTACCGATGTTGAGATCGGAACAGTTAGAGAAAACATATTTACATGGTTTTAAATATCTTGAATCAATTGAATAAACCTAAAATTATGTTAGAAAAAACGATGTTCAATTTAATCATCAGAATCATTTTTTTATTCCTTACGGAATTTACCGATTACGAAACATCGTTATTTCCGGTCATCATTTCCGCTGAGAGCAGCCATTTTTATATTCAAGTTGACCTGTGAACTAGACCATAAAGTTCAAATATAATGATCAAAACGAGCGGGAGATACATAATATATAGCCTTTTTGACGGACAACTTAACTCATACATACGGTACCAGAGATTGAAATAATGTTTAACAACTATCCTTTACACCAATTTCACAACATTTTCTATATTATTTTATGAAATTCTTTCGTAATAATTTCTTTTTTTTTTTTTTAAAAGTGGATAATTCAATAGTTCTATTCCATGTAATTGTAATACGTAATGAATTAAATATAATGTATACTAAATTGAGTTGTATAGTCAAGAAAACATCGTAGGTACTGTAATTAGTGGAACTCTCCATGTTGTTTGTTTTTGTTTTGGTTGGGATGTGTTTTCACGGGTAAATCATGTTATTTCTTTGAGTAGTATAACATGTACTCGTCTATTGTTAGCCTGCAGGTGGCCACCTGTGCTGTTGGCGATAGTTGTAAACACTCGGTTGTAAACACGCTGTAAAATTTTCAACACAAAAAGAAAGTCTGAAGCTCTGAAACTTCAAAATTTACCGCGTGTTTACAAGTATCATGTACAGCACAGGTGTCCCCTCAGACGTATCTATCTCTTTCCAAATGACAATTTCACACCTAGTAAAGACATGTTTTAAAAATGAAATTGTTTAGTTAACAAATTTAAACTACTGAAGTTTTCTGTTCTAAATATTTTCAAAAATGTAAATAGTATAAAAGCAACCTTTATAGCAGTGGTCTTAATTAATAAAATCTGAGAAAAAATATTAATTCCAACAGACTTATTGCAAGGACATTCTGTAAATTTTCCTAAGTTCAAAGAAATACAAATTTCAGTAAAAGAAAACACTAAGTCCAAAATAAATATAAAAAAAATACATACTGACTGTATAGTATTTTTTGAAAAATTATTAAGTCCAAATTTAATACAAAAATAATACAAACTAACTGTATGTAATTTTCTGTAAAATTACTAAGTTCAATTTTAATACAAAAATAATACAGATTAACTGTATGTAATTTTCTGTAAAATTACTAAGTTCAATTTTAATACAGAAAAAATACACTTGAAAAAAACTAAGTCCACAAAAATACAAAAATGATATACTGAAAATAATCTAAGTCCCAAAAAATACAAAAATAATACCCTGTAAAAAATCAAAGTCAGATTTTAATACAAAAATAATCTACCTATTTGTTGGTGATACAAAAATAATATATTTTTTCTGTATTAACTTTAAACAATACGAAAATGATTGTATTAAAAATATATTAAAAATATACTTTTATGTATTATTTTTTGATATGGGCATACATAGTTTTGAACTCCTCCATTCTTTCCCTAAATGAAATTGATGGTTAGGGCATATTGTCAGGCTTTCAGCATATGTAGTTTCAAAAATTCCTGCTCTTAACAAAATTAGTTCACTCTCATAGCTGAATGATGACGAGTTTATTCTGTTTGTTGACAGGTGTGAGCTAATATCATCAAGGCATGCATACAAAGTGACAATACATGCTGATGGTTTGATGTTTTCGTTCTTATCACAAACAATATGTGGTGCATACTGGGAAAATGAGCACTCCATTTCAAATCATTTTAAAATTTTGTTCCTCTGTCTAAAACATAAAGATAAAGTATGAGTACATATGTAAAATTTTGTCAGCAAGTCTAGTTACATAGCATTATATGCATATGATTTAACTTTATTTTTGCTCTACAAAAAAATAAACCTTGTTATTTTAAACTTGGTGGGGCAGAGAAAAACCTTTGAGGTAGCCAAGGATTAGAGATTACGTAGTTAAAATACATAAAGATAAGTCAATTAAGACTTCAAACTCAAAGTGAATATTTACCTAAAAACACAGCAATAACTTCAAACTTAGGAGTTTCTATATTCAAGGGAAAGTACAGCTCTGTCTGAAAAATATTCTGAAATAATCAATGGTACATATTGCATGTAGAATTTGCCATCAAATTTAGTTACACACTGACAACATTTGATTTAAAACTTTAAAATTAATGTGAAATCCCAATTTATACCAGTGCTCTACAATGACCAAATAATGTACAATAATTAAATTTATAATTACTACGCAGTAGTGCATGTAAAAACAACAGAAAAGGAATTCCTAAAAAAAATTATTAAAGAGTAAATACAATTTGAAGTCTCGAAGAATCCATGTGTGACATGTTCAGTAACACAAAATTCTGAGGAAATTCGGTCAAACATAATTTGTACTTGTTTCTTGATACAAAATTCAATGATACATTAGGAAATTCATTTAATGGATATTATTTTGTGTATTTATATCCCATATACTTTTACCTAACAAGAGATCATGTTCTTATTTAGAAATCATATCTTCATTATCATGTCATTGAACTTTTTGGTCGTCTGCAGACAAGTTGCCTATATTTTTTTTTTATCAATATTTCTTATTATGATATGAATATAGATCTAATATCTGTATACTTACATGATTTTAGTCCTGTTTCCCAGTCTCACTCAGTCTGCTCTTTTCCACTCTATCCCCAGGGCCATAAACTTTGTTTTGAGACGATTGACACTAATGACAGAGATCACCTGGCAAATTTGCCGCCATATTGCATATTGTTTACACAAAAGATTCAGCTAAGGGAAGTAACTCTTAGAATTTTTAAGTGCTGTAAGTGAGGGTAAACGTTCCGAAAATCGCACATAAAAATTATCTACAACAAATGCTTCTCATTTTTTTGCAGGATCTTTGTAGTAAAAGAAGTATTTTTTTTTAATTTTTAATACCAGATTCAGATAATCTTGTTGTAGATTAAAGAATTTAATTCTTATTTTGGCTTAATTATTTAAGACGAAACTAGAAATAGAAACATCAAAATAAAATTTTTTACATCTTTCGATCCGGGGGCATAAAAAAACAATAATATAAGTGATCGAATCAGAGAGAAATCTGTCGTCTCATTATTGTAAAGAAAAGCCAAAGCTCCAAATATATACAGGATTTCTCTTCAGTCAGGAGGTCCGGTAAAACATGAACGTACACCCAAGGAAGGACCATCAATGGTAGTTTTATATTAAAATTGCATTGAGGAAAGTTTACCGGGGTTTTCTGCGAGTGAAGTCCACATACGGTCCCCTGATTAATTTTTTTTATGTCTGACAATGCTGCTGCAATTAAGCATAGAAATGTTATGGAAACTTTGAAGAAAATAACGTTGTAGACTTTAACCGACCTCCGTATTTGCTAGATCTCAGTCATTGTGAGATATTTTTATGCCCCTGGATCGAAAGATCCCGGGGTATATTGTTTTTGTCCTGTCTGTCTGTTGTCAACTTTAACCTTGCCCATAACTTTTGATTGGTGAGAGCTATAACTTTCATATTTCACATGTGTATTCCTTGTGACAAGACCTTTCTTTGGGTACCATCATATTTGACCTTTTGACCTTGACATTGGAGTTTGACCCACTTTTGAAAAAACTTTAACCTTCGCCATAACTTTTGAACAGTTGGTGCTTGGGGTTTCAAATTTCCCATGTGTATTTCTTGTGACAAGACCTTCCTCTTGATATCAACCTCTTTGACCCTTTGACCTTGACCTAGGAGTTTGACCTACTTTTGAAAAACTTTATCATTGGCCATAACTTTTGATTGGTTGGAGCTAGGGCTTTCATACTTCACATATGTAATCCTTGTGACATCACCTTCCTTTGGTTACCAACCAATTTGACCCTTTGACCTTGACATAGGAGTTTGACTTACTTTTGAAAAACTTTAACCTTGGCCATAACTTTTGAATGGTTGGTGCAAGGGCTTTCATTCTTCACATATGTAATCCTTGTGACAAGACCTTCCTTTGGATACCAACCACTTTGACCTTGACCTTGACGTTTTACTTACTTTAAAAAAACTTTAATCTTTGCCATAACTTTTGAACAGTTGCAGCTAGATCTTTCAAATTTCATAGGTATATTCCTCGAGACAAAACCTTTCTTTGGGTACCAACATTTTTTATCTTTTGGCCTGGATTTTGACTTGCATTTGAGAAACTTTAACCTTCGTCATAAGCTGCCATACGGGGGTATCAGTGTTTCACAAACACATCTTGTTATTCCATAAAAACTGAAAAAGAACGCTTAATGGAAGACGTTACAATTTTGAGTATGTCATGGAGAGTGCTATTTGTCTGTGTTTTTAGCATCCCTAAAAATGAGCATGCTGAGATGTTCTCATTATGGGTACATAGACTTTAGACGTGTAAAATGAACAGGGTATACTTAAAAGGATTAGAGGTATATATTAAAAAACTGCTTCTTATTTTAAATCGCATTTTGCATTACTTATAGAACGACCCTCGTATAAAGTGTTGAAAAGTCGTGCGTTTTGATGTTATTGATTTTGGTAAAATTTTGTGATTTCAAATTTTCTAATAGTTCCTTAGAGGTTTAAAGTATCCATATCTGATTTACATGTACACCACTTCTCAAATATTGTTGTACAGTACCCTGAAGTTTCTCCTTCACTGCTTTAAATATTCAGTAGGAGTAAAGAAAGGGAAGGGGCTTGATAGAACACTTACTGGAACTTACTATGTATCTCTTTGTAAGGATTTTTAAGGGATCCAGTAAAGGTATGGTAATTCAAATTCAATTTGATTGTTGGGGATATTAAAAATATTTAAAACTGTCAACATATGATTTTAAAGACTTTCCTCGTTAGAAAGGGAACTATAAGCGTAAGTTGGATTTCCACTTGCAGAATCAAATCCAAAATCCCCTCAACCGCTTAATGCGAGATTTCAACATCCATCTTAGACATATTATCCATTTAGTCAAAGTGAAATGTCAGGGTCTTCTTTATCATGTTTGGTCCTTCTCTTGGCGTAATCTTCCACAGAATTCATAATATCTATGAAATTATGACGCCAGTTGAAAGATCGGGGTTCCCGAAATTTTGGAACTTTTAAAAATAAGTGATTTAAGGTCTTCATTATTAATTATATTTACGTCATCAGTAATAACTTGTCCAGCAGTACTATAGTTGTAGTGTGAAGAAGAACATGAACATGTAGGAGGATTATGTTTCAGATGTTCGATATCTATGTACTGTAGATTTTTTTTTGTTTTCGTAATAAAAATGTTTGGACGCAATAGTCAATGTGTATTTGTAAGAAATACAAGGTGTGGACGTCAAATATATTTTAGTCACAAGAAATAAAACAAAATTACAGCCATTTATTTTCGTTAAGGAGGTACATGTACATTTAAAGAATTAATTTGATGATTTTGAAATAATTATAAATAAAAGAAAGAATAATAATTAAATTTTCTAGTTTTTTTTTATAACACTTTATTGAAATATATTATATATTATTTTATATATATATATATATATATATATATCAAAGAGAATTGAATTATTTTTTATTTTATTTTATTTTATTTTATTTTTTTCAACTTTGAGCATTTTCCTCTGCTAATTCACTCATGTCCTTTTGTTCTGCACTTGTCTCAACTCTTTATGTATATCTCCTTCGGTAAAATTATTATTCTTGCTTTCCTTCAATTTTTTAAAATTTAATTAATTTTTTTTAATATTTTGAGGGGAGGGGGGAGGGGGAATTTGGCGTCGTGACAGGATTCTCTGAGTGACCGTAGAATAAAAAAATGTAAAAACAAGCAAACATCGACTGACCTAAAATAACATTCAAACTGTTTTCTATATTTGCTTCTATGATATTATTATGACAAACATTAACTACCCACGGAAGGAAAATGAAGACACAATTGAATTGGCCAACTACTTTTAAAATTACATCTACAGACCAAAGCAATGAAGTCGTTTTCTTGCACTAATTGCAGTACAACCTTACGTAAATCACAAACGGCATGTCATTCGTTAATCGCTTATTACAAATTGTTTGTCATTTGTAAATTTGCTAACTGTTTATTGCCTGTTTATTGCTCATAACCAATTATTATCTCTTTTTTGGTATAAATAACGCTAAACAAATAACGCTGAACGTTTCAACCAGGTATAATAATTAAATATCTTCCGTGTAAACTATTCTTAGATCGTGTTGATTTAAGTATTCTGATTTGAGAATATACATGTAAATGTAACATGTTTTATGTATATTCTGCAAAATAAACCATGTGATATATATTGACATATGATTAAGAGTGTATGAAAATCTAAGGTTTTTGATTCTGCAGGAACTGATACCAAATTTCTCACTCAACCAATTCAATGGACATTGTTGCTCTTTGGAAATTTCCAACTCAAAATTCTTCAAGCTAAGATTCAAAACAATCTTTTATTGTACATTATAAAAGGTCGTGATTTATATCATTTTTAACAACATCATATGTTATATGATAAAAATTGAAACAATTAAAAAAAATATATTACATGTACATTCATAAGAAAGAGAGAGAGTTTCCACGTCATTTTCACAATAAGATAGTGTCTTCTGTATTCCCTTCACTTTCCTGTTGATCGCCAGTAGTTAGACACCTGTAACAATGAAATATGAATTTCGTTTGAATTTATTCAAAATAAAACCCTCACAAATAACTGGAGCATAACGTGAAACAGACTATGTTTAAACCAATCACAGAGAGAGAGAGAGAGAGAGAGAGAGAGAGGCGTTATTCTTCATATTGGTTTTGAAATTTTGGTAAGGGGAACAAAAATTGTGAATTTCATGGACTCTGACTACCCCCATCAGAATTATTGCAATGTTCCATGTATCAGACAAAGTATTGGCATGGTTTAAATAAACGAAGAACCTTTTACTAAATTTGTGAGAATCATCGCCCTGGGTTTGGGATTCAAGCTCCAGTTTGTCACATATTATAATTTCATTAATAAATTAGATCTTTAAATCTCTTAATTTTACTCATGGAACTAGCAGATAAACTTTTTGCATGAATAAAGAAAACTCAACCTTTCACCAAATTGTAAAATTTCATGTTTCCTGGATACATGGGTTCAGGAATTAGGGTTTAGCTTCATTGGTCATTTTAAAGATGCATTACATTTTTGAAACGTCTTCTCTTCTCGTGGACATTTAGCTGGTGACTGTTTCAATGTTTATAATAAATAATCAACACTTAGCAAACTACCAAAATTGCCCCCTCCCCACCCGGCCAATGATTAAGACCCCAGAATGGGACTACAAAGTCAGGCATATACAAGTGAAAATACATCATGAAAATCTTCTTTTATGCAGAAGTTAAAGTGGCAACATAATTACGATTACAACGAAAACCTATAGCCCTCTATTCGCATTGTAAAATTCAAGTTCTTTGGGTCCAGTGTTCAGGCCCCAGGGTGGTGCTTAGTTGTTTATAAATTGGAAATACAAGTCACCATAATTTAAAAATTTATCTTCTTTGCTCTTGGACATCTAGCATACAAATTGTTTGCATGATTATAATAAGAACTTAGCCCTCTACTAAAACTGTACAATTGATGGCATCTTGTACCCATGTTTCAAACCACAGGGTGGGACTTATTTGGTCATATTTTGATTCTTGTCCTCTATGTCCAGTGATAAGGGTCCATGGTGGGGTTAAGTTGGTCATAAGAGCATATTGTATATACATGTATATAGTATCTCATCTACTTTACTTGAAGTTCTAGCAGACAAGCTGCATGAATGTGATAATGATTATCAGAGTCCTCACCAAACTGAAAAAAACACGAGGCTAAAATTTCAGTGTAGTGCTAAAAATGGTCATAGCCTGAAAAACCCATGTTTACCTTCAGGGCTTGTTGGCCTCTTACTAATATTTAAATAAAATAGAATAAATCGTACGTTTGTAGTGATTTCTCTAGGTCTCTGAACGGAGGCCTCTCATCCGCACAGTCCAACCAACACATCTGCATGATCTGCCATCTGTAAAATTATGAATTTCAGAATATACTTATGAAATCCAATGACTTTAACATTTCTCAAGTCTCCACCGATTTGTAAAAAAATATTTACTACTTCATGGAATATTTTAGATAGTTGTTCTATTAATATAAAGAATTCGAAGTTTTGTTCATAACTTGTTTAATGTTCATGTATTTGGAACATCTTACACATCATGTGAACATTTCGCAGGTTTATCCAGTTTTCCTCCCTGAATGATGTGACTCATGACAGCGTCTATCGTAAAATCACCGTAAGGCAACCGAGCTCCGGTGTAGATCTCCCACATAAGCACCCCGAAAGCCCTAAAATGTGTTAAGCAGAAATCTGTTACTTAGGGGTTTATGTTAGCAAATGAAATGTACATTGCTTCTCTTTGTTTTTATTAAGAAATAAATTACTTATATTCTTGACATATGCTGCTTGATAAAAATATGATACAACAAAACTAATGCATCTCGTGTTTTGCATAATACACTTCTTTGAAAGAACTAAGTACTGAGGTTTTGAACCTTGATTTGGACAGACTTGGTTGTACATCACATGAGAATGATCTCAGAATATTTTCACCTCCAGGATAAGTACATCTATTGTAGCATATATCACAAAAAGATCCTTGTAAACCGTAACGAGATTCTTTTTTCTTCTTTTTTTTTTAAAGATTTTTATTAAGATTATTCCTATACTGGTAGATATTCATTGAAAACACAATTTCTATGCGATGTTTGCACACGACGACACTTAAGATACAAACACACTTTCATCTGGACAGAAAACTGTTGTATTATTTTTTTTTTCAATTTTGACTATTAAATTTAGGGGAAAACTAATTTTGAATACTCCATGCTCTTTTTATCAATTCAGATTAAAAAGTGTCATATTTTCTTTTTTTTTTCAATAAAATGGATTATTCTCTAACAATGAATGTATAATTTTGTTGAAATTGGTAATATACAAAACTATACATAGAGTATTGCTTTGGGATTTATCATCGTCGAAAACCCACGGTTGATTACGCTACGTTTCTCTCAAGAGAAATCAGCCGTGGGTTTCCGACGATGGGCATTTATGCGATAACCATGATGCAACTTTTGACATTCTTCACAATCCACCCTTTTGTCCTATACAGTCATATATTTCAGAGTTGTGAACATACTGGCCAAACAAATATTTCATATTTTCATCCAAATGTATTTGCCAAACTGTCCTTTTATCAGACACACACTTAGACATTAAAGTCCAGAGTAATGAAATATATGGAGATAACGAACAGTATTCAAGCTCAAAAGTCCATTATACAATACAAAATAGGAACAGAGCAAACACGGACCTCCAAACATCAGAGGTGGGATCAGGTGCCATGGAGGAGTGAGCATCCCCTGTCGACCGGTCACACCCGCCGTGTGCTCCTTGTCATGATCGGGAAATAACGGAAAAATCCGTCGACAATTCAGTGTGTAAATAATGGTCTAACAATTAGTATGAAAAACGTCAGTCAGCATTTGACTCAATGATAAATTGTATTTGCTGACAAGGTCATTGTATCGACCATAGAACTTACGAAATGATGACTTTAAACGAGACAGCTGATATTCTTGTTTCATCAACTTATTTGTCAATAATTTACCTCGTTTTAGAAATTGTACATACGTAGAGCATGCTCTTGCGTATCGAATCAACTGAGAGATATATACCCCGTATGCAGGTGATGAAGGTATATTGCTGCATAAGTAAGGGAAGTTGACGATTGAAAAGTTAAAGTCATCACGTTTATCATAAAGTTTGGTTGTTAGATTACCATTAACGTCTTTTTCAAGTAAAATATCCAAATATGAAACAGATGTGTCAGACTCTGTGGTATCTTTTATCTCAAGTTCACCATGATATATCGTATCGACATAAGAATGAAAATAGCCATTTTTAATTGACAATACGTCGTCGATATATCTAAATGTCGAGTTGAACGCCACAGCTAGTGTTTTCTTCTTTTCACGTACAAGATTTTGGACAAATTCTGCTTCATATGAATACAAAAAAAGGTCTGCTAATAACGGGGCGCAATTGATACCCATAGGAATTCCAATAGATTGTTGGATTGTTAGATTGTTAGTAAACTATTTGCCAGAAATGGAATTTTAAAAGTTTCTACAGTTGTTAATAAATAGTGATCCGGGGAAATTTCATATTTTCCTGTCCATGACTATTCACCCCTACTAATGTGTTCGGAACATTTTATTTTCCGGTGTTCTGCAAATTATAAAACCCGAGGAGTTCCCAGTAGTTCTCACAGTAGCTCTGGCGAGATCTAGCGAGACTACAACGAGATAAGGTAAATTATTCACGGAAATGTGGCTAGGAAGTGACTAGCACGTAGAGACATGGTAAACAGAAAAGTTATCTTGCGTTTCATTTTTTACAACTGAAGAATATCTGTAGAAATGTATTTCAATCTCTCTTGAATTCATTCAAACGTCAATAAGTACTCTTTATGACATTATTTTCTGCACTTATGTATCAAAATTTCAATTTGGACAAACATACTTGCATGGGAACTGGGACTATACTTTTTGGCGTTAGATTACATGTAGAAAATGGGGTACCAATATAGCTTAATCTGAATGAGTTGAATTGCATTGTGGGTTAGTACGGATACTACAGGAATTTTACGCTTGAAAAAAAGAAAAAAAAAACAAGGCGATCGGAAAGGCACATAGAACATTTTTTCCATGCATTTGCATGCATTTCCATGCTGTCCATTTTTATTCTATTATTTCCATGCCCACAATTACAAACAATTCATTTGTAACATGTTACATAAACATGGAATTCTAGGTTTCTCAAAGTCATACTGTAAGGCGATTTTTGTCTGCATTCCTTTGTTGTACTATCGGTGAATACAATTGTCAGATGGGTTCCCTGACCAGAATGTAGAGATGATCACGGGTATTGTAATATGAAAAAACTTTGTTGTCCATGCCTAAGGGATGCTATTCGTTTTCCTTAACCCTGAAGCGCTAGTTTTCTGAACGTTGGACAGACTACATTTTTTATATGCATTTTCTAGTTAACAACGTAACAGCAAATTACAAACGCCCGTGGCATCTTTTATAGTTTCTACTCTTTTTTTATAGAAACAGTTTTCTTTAAAATTGTTTTTTTAATCAATTTAATATCGATCGTAGATTGAGTTGAACCACGTGTTCGAAGTAAAATGTAAACGTATAGTTGACATGTTAACGTTGCTATTCATTCAATGATTGGTCAATTGTTGGTGGTAAGATCCTGTGCGCATTAATAACAAAAGCCATATAAGGTAAACAAAGGTTTGTCATATACGTTTTTTTCTACCAGCGTATCGGGCGATTTTGGAAAAATTAACACTACTAAGCTCCAATTTTCGCCGTAAATTATCACAAAAGCGAGGATTAATTAAGTAGATAATGATTTTTTAAATCCCACCCATTTCTGTTTAAAATCTTGAAAATCTTTCAGAAAGATCTAGAAACACGTTTTTATAGGACATGTTTTTAAAAGAAACAGATTATAGCAATTTCCCGTTTACTGCCAATTTTATTTATAAAAGCGGTTCTACCCTATAACCTTTGAATGGATCAAACTACACCACGTGCCTCGAATTTAAATCACAATAACATAAGTAGGGGTTTATTGGTTTGTCTATATTACCTCGAGTCATAGCCCGAGTTAGACTCGGTTTAACTCAGCTGTATTTTTAAAATTGTTATTATATGTGGAACGACGAAAACATCATTATAAATGTAATTTTATGACGAGATAACCTGAAATGTAAGCAGTTTATAACTGGGAAACAACGATTAATGGTAGACATGCTTAGTTAATTTTTATGTTGAGCTAAAACAAATACGAAATACACTTGTAATCACATATGATTAAGTATAAAAAGAATATATCTATCTTACACTCAAATAGAAATATTTTAATTAATTGCATTTTTGTTTTTGAAATAGCCTTACCATATATCTGTTTTTGAACTAAAACGTCCATTCAGCATTGACTCTGGCGACATCCAACGCACTGGAACTTTGCAAGTCCCCTCCTTAACATAATATTGCGTCCTAAAGAACAAAAAAGCGACGAAAATTTTTGAAATTAATGATTTAAAATCTTAATGCATTGTAAGCAATTATTCAAATTGTTACATGATAGAGAAATTTAAAACAAATTTTATAATCCCTTCAAATAAAACATGACGTTTTGCCAGTAGTAATACACGTATACCTCTTCTGATTTCTACAGTGTAAAAGGAATTTATTATTATTTGCTTAATCCATAACATTTACTTGACTTAATTATAATCACTCCAATTACGTAAACGGGGTGGGGGGGTGGGGGCGTACATTCCACTATAATAGTGGTATATCACTATTATAGCGAGATTTCGCTATATTTTCAACCGTACATGTAGTTTTCCTAGATTACATCAAATAACATGATTGCTGTTGAACCTATTTTTGTCTTTTCTTGATTATCTCCCCTTGTAAGGGGGCTAGGTCCTTCATTTTAATAATTTAAACTCCCCTTACCCATGGATGCTTTGTAAAAACTTTGGTTAAAATTGGCCCATTGGTTCCTAAGAAGAAGTTGAAAATGTGAAAAGTTTACAGACGGACGGACGACGGACAACGGGTTATCATAAAAGCTCACTTAAGCTTTCAGCTGAGGTGAGCTAAAAACAAAGTATATCAGACCATTTTAAGACAATGTTTGCTTTACCTCTCTCGACTAAGGATAAAAAATGGGTAGGTAGTTAGTGGAAAGAATTATTTCAGAAATTTTTTAACATCATTGCTAAATTTTCCAAATTTATTGAAATTGAATGTATTGATAATTTTTTTTTTTAAAATGCTGATGGGATTGAGAAAATTCTAGAATGAATGTTAAAAATCTTTTAATGGAAGTAAAAAACAGATATTTGTCTGAACATTTTTAGTCGGAAGAGGGCAAACAGGCCATTTTTTTTTTATTTTGTGAGCTTAAAAGATTGTTCCCTTTGACTTTGCCCCAGGAAATAGATGTGATTTAAATAGGCAACCATACTATTGCTAAACCCCTTCAATAATAATTATGCCTTGTGATAAATAGATATTCATTTAATTAAACAAAGTCCCTGTTTGTCTTCTATCGATAATCAATGTCCTTGAATGAAAAATTACGTACATCGTGACATCCCTTGCCATCCCAAAATCGGCTATCTTAACCACCACCTGACCTTCTCTGTTTAAAATTAAGCAGTTCCTTGCAGCAATGTCCCTTAAATACAAAGGAGTAAGTATGAAAATGTCGTCATATATTGTTATATTGTAGCACAAAACTGTAAATATTTGAGTCGCACCTGTGAATAAATTTGATTGCCTCCAGATATACACAGGCTCGACATACATTAATTGCGAGTTTCAAGGCATGTGTTAGCGAAAATACGGTAGCCATACACACCTAGAAAGAAATGCAATGTATGTTTAATGATTTTTTTAAAAATTTTTTTTATATAAATCATTTCACGTTTAAATTACAACTTACACCGAGGTCTCTGTTTTTACGAAGATAATTCTTTAAATCACCATCCATTAGCTCAAGTAGAATATAGATATAATGTTGGCTTAATGATATACCAAAACATCGTACGATGTTTGAATGTTTTAGTTTACTGCAATAAAAAAAAACCTTTTATATTTAAAAAAAAAAAAAAAAAAATTCTATGTCTGGTTTGAAAATGTAACTTCAAGTCTAAAAAAAAGTAAACAAAAAATTGAAAAATAACGACATGATTTTAATGTTTGAGTCAAATGGATATTAATTTTTAATTCACTAATCAAAAGAATATTTTAGTCCTCACCAGACATGAAAAATTAAATAGCAATTTTTATGACAAGAATAGTATCAAAATACGTTAATCGTTAAATTCAGGAACTAAGCAGTTGTGTAAATGTCAATATACTACAGTAACTGTTTATAGTAACTATTCATGCCACAATAGCTCTTTATATAGTATCAAAAATGTTAATGTTCTGTACATTTTATTATTTGTGGTTACATGCATTTATTTTGAAGTACCTGGAGACAAAATTATTATCATGTGCAGTGTTAATGGGGTTTTTTTTTATTTTCACAAAGAATATGAAGAAATAAGGCTTAGAAAATGTCTATAGGTTCACATTCACTTAATTTCTATTAGGCAAAGTTTTTCATTTTTGATAAAGTATGGAATTCTTTTTATAGAAAATTCTTTCGGCAGAAGTGTTCCATGGTAAAAGTTGAATAAAAATGCATTTTGTTTTTATGTTTTTATGGGGGATTAGATCCAAATGACCAGAATCCCCGATCTTTAATTCGTCAATAACAAAGATACTTAAACCAGTGAGTCACTTAACTCAGAGCAGGTATTGGCATTTGAATCTTAATCCCCATAAAATGCATGAATATGAACTTTGACTGCACGTATTCTTAGAAAATATAAGAATCTTTGGTCATAAAAAAAAGTTCTTTTAATGTTTAGTGGTCCTTACTCCATGCTTTACTTGCCCAATAATCTATATTTTACACATATTTGGTGGACATACTTTCAATTAAAAGGTGTGAGGAACCAGTCATATTGAAAAAAGAATTATAATGCATGGAAATGCTCAATTTTGTGTACGTTGGTGTGTGTACATGCTATTTATTTATAATTTCTTAAAATTCGGAGGAGACTGTGGCGTAGTACAGAGATTTTACAGTAAGAATACGTTTATGTTAAAACATACACGATTAAACCGAAAACTCTTTATTTTTGCACTTTTTGGCCCAATCGTGGGCTTTTTATCTGGCTAATACTCCCTTATTATTTATTTATTTTCTCCTGTATTGTCAAAAAGATTATCAAATGAAATTCAGATCAATGCTTACAATGTATAGTACAATGGGTAATGGATATATATATATATATATATATATATATATATATATATATATATATATATATATATATATATATATATATATATATATATATATATATATATATATAAAAGATATTTAATTTCAAATACATATTATGAGATCAAAATCTGATACCAGAGTCACAAGGAAGGGTGAGAATACAAAAATAAAAACACATTTTTCTTTTTCTTTTTCTTTCCGCTCAAGTTAAATATTTAGAATACTCAGCCATCACTAGCGTTTCGACGATGTCTACAAATATATTTCTCCAAATTCTAATCATTTCTTTTCAAAAACACAAAACTTGCATTTAGAATACTTTTAGTACAAATCCATCCGTTTGCAAAATCTTGCAAACAAATTAACTAACAAGGAAGAGGTAGTTTTAAACGGATATACGGGAAAAAAGGTTACAACACACTATGTTATATGAGTTAATTGCTTTTAATATTGATTTTCTCCCACTTACTTTTTTGTCGATTTACTGTATCTGAAAGCCATACAAATGTAACGGATGTCTACATGAAACTATGTATGAAACATGTGTCCCTATCATTAGTTCAGTAAAGTCTCAAATTACGGAACTTAACGTCGTATAAGTATCTCATCAGAACACTATATTCGTTATTCAGCTATATCTGAACATAACGAACCAAGAGATCGATTGTTTTTTAATCATCTGTTAACAATGGAATTGCATTAAAGTTATCTGAAAACTCCATTTATATATTGCAATTAAAAATTGATAAATATCAATTCCATGATGCAGAAAGGGACAGGAACTGCAAGCATGCAGATTATGGTCTGAAATTTCGATATTAAATTATATAATGATCTGGCAATGTAGTCAACTTGTATTTCAATTGATACAGAAACCTTTTTAATCAAATTTCCGACGTGTATATCTGAAGAAAAAATTCTTTTCAGATTTTGCAAAACATTTTCCGATTCCACTTTTAATATGATTAATCTACTCGTTAAAATCAATATTTATTTTCACTGCATGACTTAAAGAAAAAAGTGCCAATTTCATTCCATCTTGTAAGTAAATATGTAAATTTCCGATATTCTACAAAAGCCTAGCTAGAGCACAATTTTTAACAATTCCTAGAAGGTTATCTTTTGAAACTCTGGAAAAAATTTCGCAAATGGAAAAAAACCTGTTTACTACATGTTCACTGTATATGTAACGTAAACAAACAGATTTGCAAACGAATACTAAACATGAAGGGCAAACTGGACGGAACTTCAATTGTTCTGTTTATTAATCAAACGGAAAATGACACATACGACTGTACTATGGTTATGTGAAAATACAAAATATATGAGGTGATGGTACGTTTAATATATGTAGAGTGTATAGGTGTTACATTGCAGCAAAGGTTGATTTTTTCCCCTGAATTTTTATTATCCTTTTTGGGATAGTTGATAATTGCTCTGTACGACATGTGTCAGATTGTAATATTTGAATTTACCGGGTGGTAGTAAATACAAAAATTACAATATGACAACTAGTTGTCATATTGTAATTTTTGTATTTACTACCACCCGGTAAATTCAAAAATTACAATATGACACATGTGTGGAATTTTGCAATTTTTGTACAAATTCACGAACAAGGGGAAGAAAAATAGTCAATCAATTTTAAGCTACGATCAATTTTTAAATCGATACAAACTACTAACAAATAATCTTGATGTTTAAGTCAACTTTTGCAAATTCAATGGTTGAAACAATTACCTTCCTTGCAATAGTTGCCGTTTAAAATACAAATTGTATGGCCATGCATTTTGTCTACGGATTACATTGTTTTCCCGATGAAGACAAAGGGTTTTCAAGGTTCATATCTATTTGTGGAAAATTCTTACTTTAGGAATGACTCTAATTCTTGGCCAAATTATTCGAGGATAACCTGGTTTGGGTCAGTTTTCGCTTTATAATCCGCGAAGCGGATTATAAAACAGCGTAAACTGACCCAAACCAGGTTATCCTCGAATAATTTGGCCAAGAATTAGAGTCATTCCTTATAATTTAATTCTAAAATCATTAAACAACTGTGGGTGTAAAATTTCGTTGCTTTTTATTAGTTCAAATTTGCCGCTCAATAATACAACCCTAGTAACGGAAGTGATGGGAAGCGAGGGGAGGTAAAAACTGATACATAGTCCTAGCAGCCATGTTTTTTGTTTACATGTGGTAAGATCCGAGTTACTGTTTGAAGTTAAAGGTACATTTATTAAATCTGGAATTTTCCATGAATCCCGAGGACTGGAAATGAGAGGATTGCATGGATACAGACGATTCAGCTGGTTGTCAGGGGGGTGTGTCCCCATACCAAACCAGGTTATACAGAAATAATTTGTGTTCCTTTTTGGATATTAACCAATCAGAGGCTAGAATACAAACAAAATTAAATTATATACATGTAACACATTTAACGAAGCCAACTTTCTAAAAACTGCAAAACATTTAAGGTATTGCTAGCCTCCTGTGATGTCATAGGTTTTGCAAAAAATGTTATTAATTTAAATTCATACCCCATAGAATTATATCTTTTGAAAGAATGCTTTTCAATAGGTGTAATAACAAAAATTATTTAGTTAAAGAATTAAAAAATTGATCATTTCCTTTATTTAATCAATTATTCAATCTTTAAAAAATGTTGCTAAGGGCTATAACTCCTTCTCATGTATCTATATTCAGGCATTTTTCCTATTGTACTTCTAATGTAAAATGGTTTCCCTGATATTCACAATTCAAACATATCTATAAAGTAGCGATTATTTTGGAAGTTTCAGCATCACAATTATGTATTTGAACAAGTCTTTACCTAATTATGCCCCGGATCGAAAGATCTCGGGGGTATATTGTTTTTGTTCTGTCTGTCTGTTTGTCTGTTTAGCTGTCTGTTTGTCTGTTGTCAACTTTAACCTAGCCCATAACTATTGCGCTGTCAAGGGTAAGGCTTTAATATTTGACATGAGTGTTCACTATGACAAGACCTTTCCATCGGTACAGAAATTTTTGATCATGTGACCTCAAGTGTGACCTTTGACCTACATTTGAAAAACTTTAACATTGGATATAACTATTGCACTGTAGTCTACGTCCAACTCCAGAATTGTGTTATCATCGAGGGCATAGTGTTTCACAAATTCATCTTGTTTTTATACTTTTTACTAAAAATGTACGATTTTTTCATTCTGACTTATGTCTCTGCTATTTTATGCATTATATCTTAAAAATATGGCAATCGATATTTTTTTTTTAATTAATTTAAACTATATTCAGTAAAAATAAATTCAGTTTTTCTACTTTGAACCTATAAAATTGTGAGAATGGAAATATTTTAAACTATTTCCACCTAAACAAAATTTGAAAATGAGTCATTTGAGTCGGTTGCTTTCTATTCTCGTCTGTCGCTCGTACAACGTCAACTTTTGAACAAGTCCGATCCATGTCCTGAAACAGTTGAACTAAAAAGGAGGTATGAATCGCTAAATTCATGATCCTCACTGTTTTGCAGCTCAAGAGGTGGGGATAGAGACCACCAAAATTAGTTTACTCTTTTACTATTTTTTTTACATCAAGATCTAGACTGAAGGGCGGGGCAAGATAAATCATTTGTACTGAAAATTTATCATATTTTT